GCACTGAGATTCATCACAAACCTCAGATCCTTGACGCACCTCTGCGATCTATACACTCGTGTTGGATGGTGTTCCGTGACCACGCGTAGACTGAAACATCCTTATATATAAGGCTATTCTTGGTGCTCTTCCCCCTTATCTAAGGATGTATAGAAAATGCACAGGATCCTATCGGCTTCGCTCCGAGAACTTTTTCCTTTAACTGTACCAAAGGTCCGTACTGAGCTGGGGAAAAGAGCGTTCAATTACGCTGCCCCTCAAGCTTGGAACCTGCTTCAAACTGAGCTGAAACTCAGAGAGCTGGTCTCATTAAACACACTCCAAGCAACTTTAACTGACCTTGAAGCAGGCCGCTGTGTCTGTAAATGCTTTGGCTAAGCTTGGTGTATGACTGTGTTGTGATTGTGTGTTTTACTGTAAAACTGTCTGCAACTGTGCCGTTACCATTCTTGGGCCAGGACTCTCTTGAAAAAGAGATGTTTAATCTCAATGAGACCTATCCTGGTTAAATAAAGGTAACAAAAAAAGAAGAGGTTCCACACTTTCCGGATTGCTGTTATTCATAACCTCACAAAAGTGAACCAGTGGCGGTTTGTAGACTCCAAAAACAACCCCGCTGATGACGCTTCAAGAGGATTGAGCATTGAATCCTTTTACAGTTCAAAAGGATGGCTTCAGGGTCCAGAATTCTTGAAGAAATCTGAAGCACAGTGGCCAAGTATTCCAAAAGAACTTGGTTCTCTCCTTCCAGATGACCCTGAAGTACGCAAATAAGCTATTGTCACCAGCATTGTCACATGTAAGATGGAAAAAACTCCAACAAGCAAGCTCTTGGACTATTACTCTTCATGGAATGATCTAAAAAGAGCTGTTGCATGGAAAATGAAATTAAAGACAATCCTCCTGCAGATGAGAGACAAAAGAAAAGATGGCTCAACTGATCTTGGAGCAAGGCAGGATAAAGGAAAGAGACTGAAGGATCAGATGCTTCTGCTCAATATGCCTACAGCTAATGCACTAAGACTTTCAGTAGAGGACACAGAAAATGCTGAAAAAGCCATTATTTGCCACGAGCAGAGACAGCATTTCAAAGAGGAAATTGCCTTGCTGGAAAAAGGAAAACAGTGCAATAGAGGAAGCTCCCTATACAAGCTGGACCCTATCATTGATGCCGGGCTTCTGAAAGTTGGAGGAAGAACTAGAAAGATGGCTATGCCAACTGAGGTCAAACATCCAATGATTCTACCGAAACATTCTAATATCTCCAAGTTGATATTAAGCCACATCCATAATCAAGTTGGAAGAGGTCATATGGTCTCCAAACTCCATCAACGTTACTGGCTATCCGCTGCAAACTCTTCAGCAAGGAGGATCATAAAGAACTGTGTGTTTTGCAGACGCCTACAGACCAGAGACCTCATTTATAAAGCCTTGCGTAGAATTCTCGTGGGAAGGTTGCTTACGTAGGACAAAGCAAATAAATACACAGACATTTTACGATTTATAAAACACTGCGTACCGGCACGCACGTCCTACGCCCGTTTCCCTTTAAAAATCACAATCAACTCGAAATGCGGCGCAGCTTTTGCGGGCTTCACGTAACGCCCATATTTGCCTATAAATAGTCAAAGAAACGCCCATTCATTCATGTTAACTGACTGCATGAAGAAGATCGCAGGAAATGACGACAGAACAGCTACAAAAGACATCTCACACCGTGTCAGATTTTGGTTCTTTTGGGGAGGTGGAGATAAATCATATTGTTTGGTGGATGCAGTTTGAACCAGAGTAGCAGCATGGAGGTCGGATCGTCACCAACATAAATAAATAAGTGGTCCGAAAAAGGTTCATGACAAAATACACATAACCTTCCTCAGGCAGTGTGTCAGTGTGTTTGTGCCGGGGACAGGAGACCCCCCCATGATGAGCAACTGTAAGAAGGTATCGGGGGTTCCCTGCGGAGTGGAGTCAATTCATGTTTATTTTTTTATTTGGTTGGTTTGTGTTCCAACATTTCATAACATTAACACAAGATATTCGAGGTGGTTTTAAATAACATATCCAAGTTATGTTCTTGTGTGCACTGAGGAGTCTCAAACAGGCGTTTGTTTAATCATTTTAAGATTGGCTTTAATCAATGTTTGAAAATGAATTCTTCATATGATAAATGAGAGGTGACATTTTATTTATGTTATTATTTCCACATATTTCTCTCCATTCTTCCTTCTGTCAACGGTGTCGCAGTTTCTCGTCTCTCCCGTTGTTTTGCGTACCGCGTGGGGTCAGAGTATGGGTCAGAGTTTGCGTGGAGGACCACATATTTTCCCGTCAAGTTTGTTTTTTATAAATCGCAAACATTGCTTAGAAAGTGGCGTACGCCATCTTTTGAGCGTACGCACCGTTTATAAATGAGGCCCCAGAACTGGAGAGCAGAAAATGGCTGATCTCCCACTTGATCGAATAACACCTGATCTTCCACCTTTCACTCATGTAGGCATAGACTATTTTGGACCCATCGAGGTGAAACGTGGCCGAGCTCAAGTCAAAAGATGGGGAGTAATCTTTACCTGCCTGGTAAGCCGTGCTGTCCACCTGGAAGTTGCCAGTCATTTGGATACAGCTGCATGCATAAACGCTCTTCGTCAATTCATCTGTCGTCGTGGCACAATAAAGAGCATCAGAACAGATCGAGGCACCAACTTCATCGGCACACAAAAGGAACTGGAGGAGTCTGTAAAACAACTGGATAACAACTAAATCAAGCAAACACTACTCAAAGAAGGAATTGATTGGACATTCAATCCCCCCTCTGGAGCTCACCGTGGCGGAGTGTGGGAGAGGCTAATACGACTGGTTAAAAAGATCCTCCATTCTGTCCTGAAGGAACAAACATTGGATGATGATGCTCTGCACACAGCCTTGTGTGAGGTTGAGCAATAATCAACGATAGGCCAATCACAACAGTGACAAATGACCCAAACGACCTCGAACCCCTCACACCTAATCACCTACTTCAGTTAAGAACAAATCCAATCTTGCCCCCCGGACTCTTTCAGAGAGAGGATCTGTACTCACAGAGAAGATGGAAACAGGTGCAATACCTTGCTGACCTGTTTTGGAAGCGCTGGACCAGGGAATATCTTCCTTTGATGCAAGAACGGCACAAATGGAATACTATCAAAAGAAACTTCACCCACGGAGACCTGGTCGTCATCGTTGATGAGAACGCACCGAGGAACACTTGGCTCCTGGGACGCGTAGTTAAGACCCTTCCTGGTTCAAAAGGACTTGTTAGGAGTGTCCTGGTTAAAACCAAGACAAGTACGATCGAATGACCCATAACTAAGTTATGTCTGCTCCTGGAGGCAACAGACTGAGCCTACTAAGCCTCAGCCTTTCAGTCACGTGCACCTCTGACTGTTAGACCAAAGGACTAGACTCTTGGTCTCCTACCCCCTCCCCATCAAAGGCTGCCTTTTGAACGCAGATCATTGCAGACAATTAGTACTAGACCCACACACTCAGTACTGGTCTTACATGGACTTGAAAGTATGCAATATACTAAGTTAAGGTAAGTTGATAGGACACAGCTGATGGTGATGAGACGGGGACCGGAAAAGTATTTTGACCGTGTTCTTTTTGTTCTTTGAGACTGATAACTTTTATTTTACTATGAAGCGAAGACATGTGTCCTCCTGTTTTCTATGCCGTCTCGACCAATGAATAAAGCTCATCTAATTCAACTACGATCTCAGCTTAATATTTTTGGAAACTAAGAAAGGCGCGTCAAAACCCACAACCCCGACAGAGGTGGCTATTAAATGTAGACCAGGATTAAAACGCCACCACAGTGCATGTCATTCAGAATTTAAATGCCAAAAGTGATAAACTGCACTGAAAAAACTGATACGTTGACTTAAATAAATGTATTATGTCAACAAATTACACATATAAAGTTTGTTTAAAGCACTAACATTACATTTAAATAACAAATATCAGGTTCAACTTAATGCTAGGATTAAGGATTAAACCTTCTCCAATGTCACACACACAGCACACAGTAACATTTGGTCTCAGCTTTCAACCCATCCTAGTACTAGGAGCAGGGGGAATGTATTGTAACCCTAACCCAGGATGTGAACTGGGACCTCTCCAAGTACTGGTCCAAGCCCCTACTGACTGAGCCTCTGCCGGGACAATACTTTAATAATATTTAATATTGTACTAACACTCTTATAGGGAATCCGTTGAAATAATACATTTATTAAAGTCAATGTTTCAATGTTTTAGAGATGTGGATATGTTGGCTAAAAGTTAAAAGGTCAAAATAGTATGCATCCACTTATATCCTGCATCCGCTTTGTTATGGTCTTAAATGTTGTCAGTCCATACAGATACAAAAAGGTCTGCCAGGTGACTTTGTTTGGCTATACCTGTTTCCTTTCAAATGCCTTGAAGTACAGCAAATTCACATATGAGCATCAGACATATAACATATTATTATTAAAGAGAAGGTTCTTTGACAGAGGGAGACTCATTAGAGGCATTGTACATCCTATGGAACCTTGTTGGCACATTGGATATCATCCTCAACTTGGAATCGCTTATTTTTTGTATACTACTGCACTCCTATGTTTAGTTTTGTAGACGCTCAACTTTTGAACTATTTATCAATGAATTTTAGCCAACAATATAAGCTGTTTTTGTATTACTTTGAGCCTTTATTTATGCTTCATTCTGTTATTGATTTCAAGCTAACTTTGTAATCCTTTTTTGTTAACTATTTTGATGCAAAAAACGAACTGAGACTATTGAGCTGCTTTACAATCTTCCACATATTCCCCAACAACTGCAGAAGCTCCTCTTCGGCTACCTTTCCCCCAGGCTGGAGACCACTGCAGACCAGAGGAAACTAGAGGGAGAATGTCTTTTGGTATGTAGGATGCGTCACAAAGGTTTTTTTAACCACATGAAATGTCACATAATAAGTGGCATAATACCGCTTGGAAGGAGAGAGTTGGAGCCCCCGCCCCCCCACAGTGCAGCTGAGCGGAGGCCGTCCCCCGGACATTCGTACCCAAGGTGGAGGTGTGGAGGTAGGGAACAGATGAACTCCACACTCTGAGCTGTGGAGAGCCTGATTCCAGCAGACACTGAACACACAAACACAACATAATATCACCTGTGTACTGTATGTGTGTATTTGGATTGTGCAGGACTAAAGAGGTTTTTACAAATTACCTTTCTGAAATATTCAGGCATGATACTGGAGAGATTGGTCTTGAAAAGCTCCTGAAATTGCATTTAATGTAATGTAAGACTTAACAAGATATGAAATATCACAAACTTAAGTTTCAACATCTGCAATCACATGGTTCTGGTGAGGAGAGATTAAAGACAGTAATTGTATCCAGTGGTGGAATATAACACATTCACTCAAGTACTTAAGTATAGTTTTGGGGAACTTGTACTTTACTATTTTATGCTACTTCATCTCAAAGGTAAATATCGTGCTTTGTACTGCACTACATTTGTTTAGTTGATTTATTTAGTGAGTAGGTACTTTTAACATAAATAACAACCTGTGTTTATATGTTATATGTATATACTACCAATCTAATCAGTAGTACACAATATATAACACTTGCTCCACAATGACAATTTACAGCATTACAAAACTCTAGTATGTATTTTCTAATAATAAAAACGGAATAATATAATATTCTATTATAATACAAAACTCCCAGAAGAGCCATCCTGCACAATCAGTACGTTCACTTTTGATACTTGAGTACATTTAGCTGATACAACATCACGTTGTAAAGGAGTATTTTTGAAGTGTTGTATTAGTACTTTTACTTAAGTAAAGGATCCCAGTACTTTTTCCAACTCTGGTTTTAACATATGCAGAACCAATGGGTGAGGTTCATATCATCTCTATGCAGTAGGTACTATCCAAGCTAACTTTTATTAACAGATACCAGATCCTTCCATGTGTATGTTCACAGCTCTGATGTACTCACACTGAGCTCTGCTCCAGAGATGTTGAGCTGGAATCGGGCGTCATGGTGTGCAGCAGTAAACATGGGGTTCAGAATCTGGTCTGGGGTTAAACACAAGTTATCCATTTCACCCTTACAACCGAGACACAACGCACCCTGCTGCTAACGCTGCTGTTCATTGGCTAAAATACTCACGATTCATAAAGTTAGATTTATTTTACTGAATTTATATTTGGCTTCTCTGAGATTAGCCTAGTTGCCATCTCATAAAGTACATTTGTGAACCCGTAAATGATGAGTACCCCAAAGTTCTACGTTAGAAAATGTTTATGTAGTAGGGTCCCCAGCACATAGAAACTGCCGGATGATAACTTGCATATGTTGGTCACTTTGCACAATTAGCATAAATTGCGTTAATTAGCATTGAGTTAAAAAATTGCTTCACCGATTTGTACACTTTTTGAGTGGTTTTGGTGGTTATTGAGGATGCTGAGTCCATTTCTAACATTTTCAGTATCCAAAATGGCAGTCGGTTTTAACAAGAAATGCCAATATGTGTACTCGATTTGGAAGATTTAAGGGACTCAGGATTATTAGGATTGGACAGATTGCTTATTTATTTGAAACTAATTGTCCTCAATAGAGGTAATCTTTTCATCTTGTGCTCTTTATATCCAATGGTTGCAGTACAACTCATGGTGGTAATCATCCCACAGAGAGTACAGATAGGGTATTCCTTTCTGGTTAAAACTGCCATTTTTGATCCTGAAAATGTCCGAATTGATCCAGCATCCTCAATGAACCAAAAACACTCCAAAACTGTCTGAATCGCACAAGCAATTGTTGTTACTATTGTTTAGCCTTTAATGCCATATTCAACCCAACTTATGTTAATTGCCCAACATGTGCAAGTTAGCATCCGGCAGTTTCTATGTGCTGGAGACTGGTATTATATATTTCTAACATAACACTTTGGGGTGCTCACACAGGAAACACATTTTGATACACTGGCACCAAAAGTTGGAAAGAGATTATTTTGATGCATTTGAAGTCTAGAAGTTCACAATCAACATGTATCAGATTTGTATTGTGTATTACATCAACTAAAATCCTGAAGAGCAGAGGGACCTGTTACATTATTGGATTCTCCCTATAAGATAACTTTTTATTGTATTGCACCTGCACTTCCACATTTCAAGAAGCAGAGTACTGCTCACTGCTGACCTGAGATCCAGAAGTAGAGCATCTTGTGTTCAGTCAGCTGACTGGGGTGGAACACAGACTCATTAATGACAGCAGAAACGTTTTTGTAGATGGAAAGCCCCTGGAAGTTTTATGAAAAAACAGTAAGTATTGGATGAACAGAAAGACAACAGAGTATTGATACTCAAAACAAGGAGATTATTATTATATCAAAAACGTTGCTTTCATGAACTGGAATTATATTGAAGATGACTGCAGTCTATACACTGCTGTTTACTATTAATCTAATACAGCTGCTCTCTCCACCCTAGCCCTGCTGATGGTGATGGAGGTGTGTCTCTCTCTCCATTGCTTCCTGGTAATCCAGATGTCTCGTAACCGTCAGAGATTAGGACGGGAAGGGGCTCCGGAGTTGAGGATCAGGGTGGAGGATGTGATGTTTCAGTTCATCCTTCAGTTCAGGATCCAGTCACAGAGGGCGCTGTTGAGCCCGAGGTCTCTGAGTTTGATGACCAGCTTGGAGGGCACAATGGTGTTGAAGGCTGAACTGTAGTCCATGAACAGCATTCTCACATAAGTGTTCCTCTGGTCCAGGTGTAAGAGGGCAGTGTGAATGGTGAGGGCTATGGCGTCGTCTGTGGACCTGTTTGCTCTGTAGGCAAACTGCAGGGGGTCCAGAGAGTCATGGAGGGAGGAGGTGATGAAGGTTTTGACTAACCGCACAAAGCACTTCATAATGATGGAGGTGAGTGCTACTGGGCGGTAGTCTGGTGATTATTGTCTTTTTGGGGACAGGAACGATGGTGGAGTGTTTGAAGCATGTGGGGACTACAGACTGCAGCAGGGACTTGTTGAAGATGTCTGTGAACACCTCTGCCAGCTGAACTGCACACACCCTGAGAACACGGCCAGGGATGCCATCAGGTCCAGGAGCCTTGTGTGGGTTAACCCTTTTAAAGGATTTACACACATCTGCCCTGTTTAAAACAAAAGGGCAGGGCTCCTGGTCCTTCTGTGCCTCCACAGACTGGCTGCTCTCCAGAGCGCCAACTGGAGTTCTTGTTCTCTTCCAAGTCAGCGCTGCTGTGCACGATAACCCATGATTTAAGTTTAGCATGAACCTCACCATTTATCAAAGGTTTCTGATTGGGGAATATCCATACATCCATACATGCATTTGCCGATCTAGCAAAGCACCCTGCTGTCAATGTTTAACAGTTTCTCTTTTCATCTATTGATGGACTTTTTTCAAAACCAAGCAGCTTAGTCTTAGGTTGTATGCAGTGGAGGGGCCTTTACCTTGTGGTAGGACTCTATGTAGTTTGCAGTGATGACAGGGGCAGCAGCTACACCAATGTCCACACTGATGTCTCCATCACTGAGGAACTGCTCTGTAAGCACAGACATATACAGGTAAACACACACACACACACACACACACACACACACACACACACACACACACACACACACACACACACATTGTGCACACACACATTGTGCACACACACATTGTGCACACACCTGCTCTCTCTTGTATGAAGTCTGCCAGTATATTTGCCACCTTGTTGATCTCCTTACAAATCTGCATTTGAAAACATATTAAATTCAGTGTTATCTTTACTCTGACTATAAGAAGACATGTCAACATTTACTCTGGCTACAATGCTGAAAAGTGATTCATACTTTATTTATTTTCTTTGGTCCTCACCTGTCCCTTTACTACCAGTTTGACAGTGAAGATGATGAAGTCAGTGAAGAGCTTCTTCAGCCAGTTGGGTCTGATCCAGGCAGTAAACACAGCACGGTTACACACAGATTATCATGCAGACTGCTCTTAACATCATTACGGTTCAGTTTTGTAGCTTACTCTTTGTCGCCCTGCAGATGCAGACTGAGTTTGTGAAAATTAAGAAAACAGTCCGATGTGTCTGCTGCCACCTTCCCCTCTCCACAGTCTGACAGAGGACACACAAACAGAAGAGATGTGAGGACGTTTAAGGAAAGATTTAAAGTTAGTCAGTTGGAACAAATAGGTTCCAGTATACTGAATCAGCAGCTGCCTTGCTGAAGGACTGAATAATTATACACCAAACCTTTTAAAAAAGTAACATGAGAAAATATTTGGGATTTGCCAACATAAATAAAAATGATGTGCTAACTTAAGGCTGTTTGTATGAGACAAATCCAATTGAATCAATTTGAAGGCAATATATACATATGTTTGTTGTAAAATCTTCTTTGTAAGCTGTACTGTTCTGTAGGCTAATACTTGAACAAAAAAAACATCTTATTGATATCTATTTTTTCTTGTATTTATTTGCACATTTGATATTAAGGTGATCTAAAAAAAAAAAAGGAAAGTAATCAGGTTACATTACTTTTATATTTTTGATGGATTTTTTACAGGTAACTAGAAATTGTTGAAGTCACCCTCCGAACCCTGAGGGGCCGACCCAAGCATTGTTTTACTGCACTCACTTTCAAGCCCTAATCGCTGTGCACACATACAAAACAAAGTACTTACAGAGTTTGGGGTTGATTCCGAGATCAATCTGAGATTCAATTTCAAAGTCAATTGAATGTTCAACGCTGACACTACATGAAAAAAGAAATACAAATGGCATATTAATACGCATCAATTTACTGGGGTTTGCAAAGGAAGTGATGTCACCATGCTGACAGAGCAACATACAGGAACTCAAGTTAAATCAACAGAAGCACAGAGAGGAGTTGCAGTGCTGATGTCAATGAAGTGTTCTGAATATGAATGATTTGCAGTGTTCAGATGCTGGTCACACACAGACTCACAGCCAGCTGCCGTATCCATACTGGATTCTCCCTTTAAAGACTGCCGACACATTTGTTATTTCCATGGAGATCCCTTCCCCTGGATGCAGTTCAAATGTACTCTGACCAATCGACAGGTTGTGAATCTCCAAACTGGGTGAAAGATGAAACATGACATGACTTTATGACATTTTGCGTGTCCATCTGTGTATTATGGTTGTGTGTGCCCTCTTACTTTTCCAGGCCATATATGAGTGTGCCTATAAGGAACAGGGACGTCTCTCCCTTCACACTGGGATATCTGGCATGTTGGAACGCTGCCTCAATCACTTTGGTTGTTTTCTCGTTCACTGCCCGCAGCGCACAAACACACATATGGTCAAAGACAGTTAGAACAACATTATGTAGCTACTTTACCTTTATACTACTGCCTCAAAAAGACTGTCTTGCAATCACTTTAAAAAAGGTGGGAGGAGCTTCTCAGACCCGTGGCGGGGGAGGGTTAGTAGTGCCAGAACAGGAGCCATGCACCACCAAACAAGATTACTTATCTGACTGGCTTTATCATTGGCGAGAGCTTCACAACATAAAAAGCAGCAGGACAATCAATCAATCAACAACTTTATTAATCCCGCAAGGGGCAATCGGTTATGAGCAGCAGCTTATGTCATGTACACAGGCAGGAACATACAAGAAGAAAACACAGATACACCCGGGAGCACAGATGTGGATCATTCCAATTTATACTATAAATAGTTCAAAGCATCACAATAATAAATAAATAAATAATCAAGTTAAAAGCCTTTTCAAGAGTTTAAAAGTTTGAGTGCAGAAGGGATGAATGATTTAGAAAAGCGATTAGTCCTTTGATCAGGTAGAGCATATCTTCGCCCTGATGGCAACAGACGAAATTCATGTGAAAGAACATGACCTGGAGAGTTCAGAATGCTCTCTGCTTTCCGCAGAATCTGTTGGTTACAGAAGGAGTTTCAGTCTCTCTGTTTCACACCGATGATCTTAGAGCAGGTTTTAACAATGCTGTTCAGGCTGTTCCTGTCTTTCAGTGTGAGGCTATGGAACCAGCAGATAAAAGAAAAACAAATACGGCTCTCAATGAATGCTTTGTAAAAACGACAAAGAATGAAAGGCCTGACAGAGAAAGAGTTCAGTTTGCGAAGAAGGTGCATTCTCTGTTGACCCCGCTTCACAATACACTCAGTATTCACATCAAATTTGAGGTGGTCATCGAAAATGGTGCCCAAGTATTTGTATGATGTGACAATTTCTACCTCGTCATACAGCATTCCCACTATATGTTCTTCTACGCACGAAAAGTTTATTAATCCGCCGGTATTTTGCCGCGCTTCTCCTCCTGCATTGAACATCGCAAAAACTCCGTTCAAACATCAAAACGTTCAGCTCGGTCGGGAATCGATGGCTATTACTTTTCTCATTCATAACTTTCATAATTCCAGAGATACATCCCATAATACATCACATTTTAAATATTGAAGTCAATGGAGGAAATCTTCAGACTTCAACAAATCTTCATGCGACTTCAACATCATGACAAACGTAGGAAAACATCTCGTAGCTTGAAAAATGACAAATAATTAAGCAAAAAATAATTCAACCAAATGCCTCTTGAGGGCATGAAGTGACAAAAACATTCAACATTCCTCCATTGAAGCCCATTGTAATTTCAGGCTGATATTTCCTCACGGCAGCAGCCGCACACCTTTAGTTAAACTGCCAAAAAGGCCACATTATTAACCTGAAACTACACACAAATTACACTTCAGATACTCAACTTCCTTGAGATGCTTCACGTTTTGAAATTTCACCGATATCTGTTACGGTTCTTCCACAAAACGTTCACATGTAATGCTACGTTCACACCGGACGCGATGCGAATATTCGCTTCGCTCTAAACGCTCCTATCGCATCGCTCTAGTCGCTCGAGTTTCACCGCGGCTGCCAGCTGTGTTTACTCGCATCATTCAAACAAGACGCGCTCGGGAGCTACAACTACAACAAAATGAACATATTTTAGTAAAAACCATGAATTAATGCTTTGACAAGTCTGCAGACAAGACGGCAGGCGAAAAACCTTTTAAAATGCTTGTTTTCTGAATGGAGATTGGGTCGACCAGGCTAAGCTAACGTTGTATATGCTCACTCCACACTCATAACAACGGCCTACAGACATAAATAAGCCAGCGACTGTATTCGCCATGACACAGACAGTCTGTGGTTTGTTCTTGTTTAACTTTTGTACAGTTTCTGAACAGATATGAGGAACGTAGCATTATGCTGCGTTCAGACCGGACGCGATGCGATGTTTGGGGGCGGCGCGATTACATGTAAAGTCAATGCAGAGATACGATCAGACGCGAATTCGCTCCGACGGCGCGCATGAAGCGGTGGACGCAGCGCGAATCACGCGATTGAGGCGATTGAAGGGGGCCGCGTCAAACGCGAGAGTTCAATTTTTTCAACTCGGGCGTCAAATTCACGTGACTCGTTCTCGCGGAAGCCAATCAGCGGTGAGGATCTCAGCCTGCCGTTACTGACGTTAACCAGAAAACATCAGCCATTAGCTGTTAGAAGTTAGCACACAGAGATCACAGCTCCTCATATCTGTTCAGAAACTGTACAAAAGTTAAACAAGTACAAACCACAGACTGTCTGTGTCATGGCGAATACAGTCGCTGGCTTATTTATGTCTGTAGGCCGTTGTTATGAGTGTGGAGTGAGCATATACAACGTTAGCTTAGCCTGGTCGACCCAATCTCCATTCAGAAAACAAGCATTCTAAAAGGTTTTTCGCCTGCCGTCTGTCTGCAGACTGGTCAAAGCATTAATTCATGGTTTTTACTAACCGGTATCAGTATGTTGTTACGTCGGCATCATCTAGAAACGTGCATTACAATTTAATCACGGTAAAATATGTTCATTTTGTTGTAGTTGTAGCTCCCGAGCGCGTCTTGTTTGAATGATGCGAGTAAACACAGCTGGCAGCCGCGGTGAAACTCGAGCGACAATAGCGATGCGATGGGAGCGTTTAGAGCGAAGCGAATATTCGCATCGCGTCCGGTCTGAACGCAGCATTAGAGGTTTATCTCTCATTCAAAACAATGGACACCTGTGATCTCTGGACGCCTCGTTAGTTCAAATATAAACACCTGTGTCATGGAACATGATGATGTCATCACTCCAACTGACATGCTCAGAGCAGCAGACTTCAGGAGTGGAGTGCACCAGCTGGGCGTAAACAAGTAGGGCTTAACTCTAACGTCGGGCTTAGCTACGTCCGACTTAGTGATTCGAATTCACACCGAGTGCACCAAGCCTGACTAGTCTCGGGCGTAGCTGCGCCTGGTCTTAAGTGAATACACGCGAAACAATAAATGTTGCCAAGCAACACACGTCTACATAATTTAACACTCAAACTCCTCCATTCAGAGCAAGCTAAGAATTGAATAACGAATATGGATAACGGAAACCAAAAGAAGAGAAAAACCAATTTTACTGATAGAGAGATTAGGACATTAATTGAAATGTATGGAGAGCATAAAAACTCGCTAACTGCCAAATTTAACAATACAAACTCGCAGCCTGGAAGTCGATCACTGGTGCGATAAATATCGATAGCAGTGTGCTAACAGTCCAGCCGTGAAGACATCCACGGGAGAGTTTTGAGATTTCTTCAAATGCCGTTGCCATGGCAACACAATGCTCGCCTTGAAACACGGTTTTCTTATAACTTTAGTGAAAATACTCCAAACAGCCCAGAACTTCACAGGTTTGGTAACGATGCTGCCATCAACGCATCTAAGCGTATTATGGGGTGTCATCAAATGCCGTTGCCATGGCGACAAACCACTCGCCATGAAACAGATCTGGCTGTAAGTCCAATCGACACGGTCCAATCGTCCCCCAATCTTCACTTGTATATCGCCTCAACAGCTCTACGCCAAATCTGAGATCTCACCATATGCCGTTTCCATGGAAACGCATCCCTCGCCATAAAACGATGCAGCCATCAACGCACCTAAGCGTATTATGGGATGTCACCAAATGCCGTTGGCATGACGACAGATCATTCGCCATCAAGTTAATTCAAAAGTTTGCAGTTCAAATATTCTGTTGCTTTTCCAAGCCTTTTTACTTTATTTTCTTCTCTCATCACACATTTAAGCCCCCAGTGTTCATGTATCATTTCAATCTAAATTCTTCACTTTCTTCTTACACATTACATTTCAGCATATCAATTCAGCGTCAGCTTTTCAGCATAAAGCATTCCCACTAGCAATTTCTTCAGGAATTGCATTCTCTAGTTGTGTATGATGCACTCCTTAGGAACATCCTTGTGACGTCTAAAATCAATGATCAATTCCTGAGTTTTGGAGACATTTAAATCCAGAAAACTGTCGTCACACCAGAAAATAAAATCGGTAAGAGCACACTCGTGGCCTGATTCTGAGCCGCTAAGGAGGGACAAGAGGGCGGTATCGTCAGAGAATTTAACCAGGTAGCTGTTGTCTTGCATGCTCCTGCATTTATCAGTGTACATTATAAAAAGTAGGGGCGAAAGAACGCATCCTTGAGGCGAGCCCGTGGAAGTGATGACAGAGTCAGAGAGGCGTCCATTGACAGACACCTGCTGCTCTCTATTAGTTAGAAAGTTTAAAATCCATAAAACAAGTTGATCGGGCAGTTTAAAATGACATAATAGGCTCTCCACCAGGAGATGTGGCTGCATTGTATTAAATGCTGAAGAAAAGTCAGCGAACAAAATAAAAGCCTAGCGTGGGCTTGTGGCTTTTCAAGGTGTTTGTGGAGGGTGTGCAGTATAAGAAGCTTTGCCTCCTCTCCGCCTCTCCCTGCCTGATACGCAAATTGTAGTGGATCAAGTTCACCACCTACTACTGACATGACAGATGCATGCTGGGCTTTGTGATGTTGGACTAGTAAGTAATTAGAGATAGCATGCTATTTGCTGTTGCACTTGCTTGATGTTCCGCTGTGTTAGCATGATTGTAAACTTGCAATCTTAGTTTATAAGTATTTATAATGAACTTGCAAGTACCATGCAGTTACTAACAGCTGTCCATGTTTCTGACAAGGGTTTCAAAGTGAATTACACCCTGAGGCTGCTGAGGTACTACTGTAGGTCACACAAATACAGAATGTTACATTATGCTGTTTAAGGACAGACACATTGCATACAGCTGGGTATTTACAGTCCAAAGCAACTGGTAACTCATTAGTACTTCCATATGTAATGAGAATAAATGAAGAAAAATATTATCACCCTCTGGAATATGAAGATATATGGAATTAATAGCATTGAATCTGCATTAACGAGTGAAGTGTTTCCCATTAACTCCTTTTACAGCAATCTTTTCGTTTGTTTGTTATCAAAATAATTGTTAATTTGATCAAGTATGGTAAACGAATGAAGTAACTTTGGAGGTTAACAACAACATCGGGTCAAAATCCACTCACAAACAACAACAGCAGGGTAGGTCAGGCGGCTCACAGCTCCCGTGAACCTGTAGGCTTCAGCGGGGTCCTGGAGGCAGGCGTGGGACGCCCCAAATACAAAGAGGAAGAGCAGCAGCGAGTGGACAACATCAAGAGACATTGTGCAAGAGAGCTTCACCTCTGCCCGAGCGGTTTGAGGTGTCTAATCCTGCGGACAGTTGAAGTTCAATTTATGTTTGGAAGTGTACGTTTCCCGTGTTTTCCCGAGCAGTAGGCTTTCTCATCCACTGTCACCAGAGGCCCGAAGACTCCAGCTCCCAGATAACTTTCAGACAGCTCTGTTCGAATCTCCTTGTTTTTTTCTGAGAGAACCCGACCGCCTGCCTTGTTCTTTTAACTGTCAGGGAGGGCAGGCCACTGTAGCGGAAAGTCTTTCCTTCATCCAATCAGAGAAGGACACCTTGTGGGATTCACAGTTGATGGACAAACACTGACTGTGTCTGTCACCCAAGGCCCCCATAAAGTAAACTGGTCAAAGTGCAGGTTCTGTGATGCCAGTGTTAGAAAACCTCAGGTAAATAAACACAATCTAAAGCTTTATAGATTGTGCAAAGGGAAATAGTACATTTTTAAAATGATCAAGCGCTGAGTAGGGAGATACAACAGCACTGAACAGACACTGATTCAAAGTAGGAACTGCCTGTAGATTTCTAAAATTCAGACTGTAGGCTCAAAGAACACTGAGGGCAGTTATCACAACTAGTATACACAGTCTGCAAAGACATTTGACATTTCCAGAAACACTTATTCCTCACAATATAATCTAAAACGACATGCTGGAGATCAGCATGTTTGAAAGATGAATCTACTAATTTAGTCCTCTTTTTCTAGACTCAACAAAGTGTAAAAGGCTAGCACAATGTTCGGGTCCAACCTTCACTGAACAAAAACTCTTTCAATAAGCACAAGCTCACAGGAAAACTAGATACATGTCCAGAAGCTCACTGTAACGCCGGGTTACGTATTGTAACCCTTGTTATATTAACACAGGCTCCGCCCTCTACTGGACTCTATGGGTACTACTACCTTATCATGCAAGCATTTACCTACTGAGATTTATATAGACGTAGCCGGCCCCGGGGCGGGCCTACCTGAATGCGTGCGCATCTCACTTCCGTATAAAAGGAGGTCTCGCCTCCTGACCACCATCCTACACCACTCTTCAGCGAGCGGTATAGGACAGACAGTGCCCCAAGGTAGAGGGCTCCGCCTGTGTTAATATACAAGGGTTACAATACGTAACCCAGTGTTATATCTCTCACAGGATCCGCCCTCTACTGGACTCTATGGGTACAGTGGGTGGAGCCCCGATGTATACACGCACTGTCGTCCAGCACACCGTTCCACCTCACTGTCCCTGACCGGCTTTAGCAGCCGCTGCGCCTCACTCACCTCTCCCTCGGTTGTAACCGTGGAGAAGTCCGTGATGCGGCCGACAGAGCACACCCTGACGCACTTGCCTCGAGTGTGCTCGAAAACAGTGCTGAGGGCTCCCCCGCGTCCGTCTATAGGCAGCCAGGGAAAGTCTGCAGTCCTGTATGGGTTCGCTCTCTCCTGAGTCCCTAAAGAGCACGGGGAGAGCACAAGTGTCCCCCATGTCCCCACACTCAGACACTGACCCGTGCAGAGTGTGTACGGACTATAATATGGAGGGCTCTCCCCCTCCTGCCCCCAGGCAGGCGAGGGGAGCCCTTTAGCCCTGTAAGGGCCCAGAGCGCATTATGTCACCCCGCGACCCTCCAGGGGTCCGGAGAAACGTAAGCGCATTCCCTCCCGGGGAGGGGGTCAGATGCCCACTGACCCACAGACCCCCTCTCCTCACCAGTCCTGTGTTGCCCCAGAAAGCACAGACGCTGAGAAAGAGCCAGACATATCCAAGAGATCAAACTTTAAGAAGGGACCTGGCGTTGACCAAGACGCCACCGTGCATATGTCCTCCACACTCACACCGTTGAATAAAGCTGTCGACGCAGCCACAGCTCATGTGGAGTGCGCACGGACCCCCGCGGGACAGGCTCTCACTGCCTGCTCGTAGACGTGTACAATCCCTCCGCAAAGCCAGCCTGCCAAGCGTTTCTTGGACAGAGCTTTTCCAGTCACCACGCCCCCGAAGCACACAAACAGCTGTTCAGTGCGTCTAAGGGCAGCTGTGCGCTCTACATAACATGCTAACGCGCGCACCGGGCAGAGGAGGTGCAGTTTAGCTTCCCTGGCCCCACCATGGGGTGGAAGACTAAAACCCCCCGACTCAATAGCCCTCGACCTGAACGCACTCCTTAGGCTCTTGGGCACAAAGGAGGGGTTCGGTCTGAGTGTCGGTCTGAGTGTCGGTCTGAGTGTCGGTCTGAGTGTCGCCCCGCTCCGGTCACCCCGAATCAACAGGAAATTCGGGTGCACCGATAGAGCGGTTAACTCGGACACTATTTTGGCTGACGTTAAGGCAAGTAGCAATGCTGTCTACCACAGGGCAGAGTGGCTGTTGCGCAGGCTGGCAAACAGATCCACTTCCGCTCTCCCGAACTGGGCCCAGATTCGCTTCACCACCTCCGGGTGAAGCGTCCATTCGCCTGGCAGGGGGCCGCCCCTCGACATGAGGTCGGCCCCCCTGTTCTCCAGTCCCGGGATATGGAGGGCTTTCAGAGATAACACCACCTCTGATGCCCATAACCACAGCCTCTCCGCTGTGGCCAACAAGGCGGCGGAGCGGACTCCGCCCTGCCTGTTGATATAAGCCACTGTGGTGCTGTTGTCGCTCCTGACCATTACATGTCTTCCTTGAATTAGGGGCATGAAATGCTGGAGGACTAACACTACCGCCCGTAGCTCTAGGAGGTTGCTGTGTTGTGTCTCTGTTAGAGCCCAGCGCCCACCTATAGCCCTCTTCAGGCAGGTCCCTCCCCATCCTGTTCTGGATGCGTCCGTGAACACTGTGATGTAGGAGGTTACCCGTCCCAGTGGAGACCCCCTCCGGAGGCGCCCGGGAGACCCCCAGAACCGGAGGTTGCCCTCCACTGAGGGGGGGATGGTCACCAGCCGCCGCTTGTGCCTCTTGGGATCCAAACGCAGGCTGGAGAACCACCTCTGAAGGCGGTGCATATGCAGTAACCCCAGCGGGACCACAATGTGAGCAGCCGCCATGAGACCCAAAATCTGCATGACAGTCCAAGCTGTCACTGTCGCCTCCTGTCACAGCCTGTGAACCGCCCGGAGAAGGGACGCACTAGTTCTCTGACAGGGTGGCCTGCATCGAGCACCACTCCCAAATACAACGCCTGTTGGTGAGGTATCGTATGGGGGTGCTCTTTTTTCAATTGATTGCAAAGCCTAACTTGGTTAGGTGTGTGAATGGTGCTGTGCAAAACATTGCCTGTTCCCTGGACTATGAGGTTGTCTATGCAAAAGAAAACTCTCATGCCGTGTGCGCACCGTGGTTGAAGCGCAGTGGCCACACATTTGCTGAACGTGCGTGGGGATAGGGAGTAGCCGAACGGTAGTCTGTTGTACTCGTAGGCTATCCCCTGAAAGGCAAATCGCAGATACTTCCTGTGCTCTGGCACAATTTCCACATGAAAGTATGCGTCTTTCAGGTCGATGGTGGTCAACCAATCGCCCGGTTGCACCAACCCCATTAACTGTTTTATGGTTAACATCCGACATTTCCTGTGGCAAATGTGGCGATTCAGGCAACCTGATCTCACCAGAATGCGTGACTCCACCACGACTCCTTAACACCACATTGCGTGGTGGAGTCACTAACTTTGTTACATTTACGTGTCGGCACCACGCAAAACAACCCCAATGTAAAGTGAATGAGGCTCCTTTGTCCAACCTGATCTCACCAGAATAAGTGACACACAATGCACTGTTTTTTGAGAACAAACATTGGTAACTAATGCACCATAATAGGCCTACATTCTAACGAAAAATACAAATGATTATGAATACAAATAAAATAAAAGAAGCCTCCCGTGAGTTACTACAAGCTATAAAGTAGATTTTAAAAACGTTTTATAGAATACAAAGCTCACTGCAGGACGTTGTAGAAATGCGTGTGTGCACCACGACCAAGGTAATTCACTTTAAATTGGGGTTGTTTGCGTGGTGCACGCAAATGTAACAAAGTTAGTGACTCCACCACGCAATGTGGTGTTAAGGAGTCCTGGTGTAGTCACGCAATCTGGTGAGATCAGGTTGAATTCAGGCTGCGCAAATCTAGAATAGGTCTAAATACCCCTGTCTTCCTGAGAACCAGGAAGTACATGGAATAAAGACCATTTTCTCTGTGCTGAGGGTTCACAACAGACACAGCCTGTTTCTGCACCAGAGCCTGAATCTCTGCTGAGAGGAAACCCATCTCCTCCTGAGATAACAGATTTACCTCTCGCATGCCTCTGAATGGAGGTGGGACGCTGCAAAACTGGAGTGAATAGCCCCGTTTCAGCGTCCTGTCCATTAACTTCGTTAACACACAGCTGAGGCTCCATTCCCCATAACATTGTTTTTAATGGACAAGCCCTCAGCTGTGGGGCCGCAGCTATGAAGCTGTGATACTCTCTGGTGATCCGTTCCGCCACAAAACCCCCCGTGAAGGGAAGATTTGCCCATGGAGGGTCAACACAGAAAGGGCCGATTATTTACTGAGGTCCCTGAACGCACCGTCCACAATAATGCTGTTCTCATCACCACGGTGAACAGCATTAATCGGTATCTTTATAGACGTAGTGTGTCCCTGAACGCACCACCATGCGAGAGTGCGGGCTCCGCCATAAATAATGCAGCCTTTACCACTACGGTAAACTGCATTAATTGGAGCTTTTATTCTAGGCGTAGTGTGTTCATCCTAGGTATACCTCAACTATGAGAGACAAAATGAGAAAAAAAAATCCAGAAAATCACATTGTCTGATTTTTAAAGAATTTATTTGCAAATTATGGTGGAAAATAAGTATTTGGTCAATAACGAAAGTTCATCTCAATACTTTGTTATATACCCTTTGTTGGCAATGACAGAGGTCAAACGTTTTCTGTAAGTCTTCACAAGGTTTTCCCACACTGTTGCTGGTATTTTGGCCCATTCCTCCATGCAGATCTCCTCTAGAGCAGTGATGTTTTGGGGCTGTCGCTGGGCAACACGGACTTTCAACTCCCTCCAAAGATTTTCTATGGGGTTGAGATCTGAAGACTGGCTAGGCCACTCCAGGACCTTGAAATGCTTCTTACGAAGCCACTCCTTCGTTGCCCGGGCGGTGTGTTTGGGATCATTGTCATGCTGAAAGACCCAGCCACGTTTCATCTTCAATGCCCTTGCTGATGGAAGGAGGTTGTCACTCAAAATCTCACGATACATGGCCCCATTCATTCTTTCCTTTACACGGATCAGTCGTCCTGGTCCCTTTGCAGAAAAACAGCCCCAAAGCATGATGTTTCCACCCCCATGTTTCACAGTAGGTATGGTGTTCTTTGGATGCAACTCAGCATTCTTTCTCCTCCAAACACGTCTAGTTGAGTTTTTACCAAAAAGTTCTATTTTGGTTTCATCTGACCATATGACATTCTCCCAATCCTCTTCTGGATCATCTAAATGCTCTCTAGCAAACTTCAGACGGGCCTGGACATGTACTGGCTTAAGCAGGGGGACAGGTCTGGCACTGCAGGATTTGAGTCCCTGGCGGCGTAGTGTGTTACTGATGGTAGCCTTTGTTACTTTGGCCCCAGCTCTCTGCAGGTCATTGACTAGGTCCCCCCGTGTGGTTCTGGGATTTTTGCTCACCGTTCTTGTGATCATTTTGACCCCACGGGGTGAGATCTTGCGTGGAGCCCCAGATCGAGGGAGATTATCAGTGGTCTTGTATGTCTTCCATTTTCTAATAATCGCTCCCACAGTTGATTTCTTCACACCAAGCTGCCTACCTATTGCAGATTCAGTCTTCCCAGCCTGGTGCAGGTCTACAATTTTATTTCTGGTGTCCTTTGACAGCTCTTTGGTCTTGGCCATAGTGGAGTTTGGAGTGTGACTGTTTGAGGTTGTGGACAGGTGTCTTTTATACTGATAACGAGTTCAAACAGGTGCCATTAATACAGTTAACAAGTGGAGGACAGAGGAGGCTCTTAAAGAAGAAGTTACAGGTCTGTGAGAGCCAGAAATCTTGTTTGTTTGTAGGTGACCAAATACTTATTTTACCGAGGAATTTACCAATTAATTTATTAAAAATCCTACAATGTGATTTCCTGGATTATTTCCCCCCATTCTGTCTCTCATAGTTGAAGTGTACCTAGGATGAAAATTACAGGCCTCTCTCATCTTTTTAAGTGGGAGAACTTGCACAATTTGTGGCTGACTAAATACTGTTTTGCCCCACTGTATACCTGGGCAGGCTCTGTTTTGCCGAGGTCCTCTGGCACTTGCGGGCCGCCGAGGGGTGGCGGTGTTTGGGGCAACGAAGACGGCTGCGGCTGCTCTGCCTCCGTGGGCGAGGCGGGCAAAGCCGGCGAGTCAGGCGGGAGGACGATAGTGTTCACGACAGTGGCCGCGGGTAACGTAATGTCCCCATGATCTGAACTGTTATTACCTACAGTAGATGCAGTGTTACTGCTGGCGATAAGAGCTGGTTGTTTTAACCATTTTCTGATGTCCATCATTGACTATATTATTCTTATTATTCTTATTATTACTACAATTATTATTATTATTATTATTATATATGTAATATTTTTCACTTTAGATTTTTTTTGTTTTCACTTTTAATTATTTATTTTTTCACTTTTCATTTTTCAAATGAGGGTGCATAAAGACTCAACTGAGGGTGCAATGCACCCTTATGCACCCCCGTAGAACCGGGCCTGACCTGCGGGCCGAGCTTCCTCCAGAAGTGGCTCAGCAGCGGGATCGAGCAACAGGCAACGCAGGCCGGTGTCTGGCCCATTCCCTGCTCGGCATGGTCGGGCCCCAGGCACTGGAAACACTGGCGGTGCGGATCCGCTCCCGCAATCAGGTCAGGGCACGACGGGCAGTTTCGATGCTCCAAGGGTGGCTCCATTTCAATAATATTCGCTTTCCTACGTTCTCTCAAACGTCTCAGACTCAGTGTCAGTATCACCTCCGCTCGCTGAAGAGTAAAGGATGATGGTCAGGAGGCGAGGCCTCTTTTTATACGGAAGTGAGATGCGCGCGCATTCAGGTAGGCCCGCCCCGGGGCTGGCTACGTCTATAGAAATCTCAGGAGGTGAATGCTTGCATTATAAGGTAGTACCCATAGAGTCCAGTAGAGGGCGGAGCCTGTGAGAGATATAACGTACACTATTCAGTTCTTATGGTGATTCCCTTATAATCTAAAGTGTCTATCTTTTCTGATAGCAACTGTATACATTTGGTTTCACTTCATAGACAATAGTGCGATGAAACAAGAGTAAGAGTTGAACCTAAAGAGAGACTAGAAATAACAAAGGGGGTAACTGATATATAAGAGCCTTTTGTGTGTGGGGGGAGAAGTACTCAGATGTTGTACTTGAGTAAAAGTAGAAGTACTCAGATGTTGTACTTGAGTAAAAGTAGAAGTACTCAGATGTTGCACTTGAGTAAAAGTAGAAGTACTCAGATGTTGTACTTGAGTAAAAGTAGAAGTACTCAGATGTTGTACTTGAGTAAAAGTAAAAGTACCAGAGTGTAGGAATACCCTCTTACAAGTAAAAGTACTGCATTCAAAATGTTACTCAAGTAAAGGACAAAAGTATTAGCATCAACATCTATTTAAAGTACCAAAAATGTAAAGTAGTGATTGTGCAGATTGGTCCATTTCAGAATAATATATATGAGATGTTTTATAATGATTGATCATGAAAGTGTTCTCAAAGCTGGTAAAGGTGCAGCTGGTTTGAATGGCTTTGTATACTGCAGGGTAGCTTGTGGATTTACTCCAGGTGGAACTAAAGTCAGATTTAACACTTGATTAGATTTCACATCATTCATCCAGATCTGTAAAGTTTGTAGTGGAGTAAAACTACACCATTTACCTCTGAACTGTAGTAGAAGTAGACAGTAGCAAAACATTGACATACTCAAGTAAAGTACAAGTCCCTAAGAATTGTACTGGCCGAGTCGTGTACAGTGTGCTAAAAACATATGGGACAAACAGTTAAAAGCCATGGCTGACCACATTGCACATCCTCTGCAAGGGTTAATCTGGTCACGGGAAACTGTCAGTCAGTTTGAACTTGAGTTGTTTGAGGACATGTGCTGGGGAAGTATGCATATTTGGGGTCAACAGTCCATCTGGAGTATGACCTCAGTGTATGCGCTCTGCATTAGGTCATTCTTTTGGTTGGAAGGCCCATTTAAACTCAAGCCGTGACATTTTGAGCTGACGCTCATAGTCCCGACTCGATGGATCCTGAAGACTTGATGATCTCCTGTATTTTCATTGAGCAGCCACAGTAGAGGAAAGCTTAAATGTTTTTTTGGGACAGTTTAGTCTTTTTTTTATGAGAGATTGAGAGTGTCAAAAGTGGGGATAAGGGGGCATGAGAGCCATTAAGATATCCAGGCCAGATTTGAACATGGGCTCCCAGCTCTACCCTTTAGCAGAAGGCATCATTTCTATACAAATCTTTAACTATTGGATGCTTTGCCATGACATTTCGAACAGTCATTCTTGCCTATACAATCCATCCAGAATGGATTTTAATAACTTTTGTCATCATCAGGCTAAACTTTGAGTTTTAGTCTGAGAATACATAACTATGCTATGAAAGGCAGTACATTGTTAGCATGCTCACATTAGCATATAAGCTCAAAGCTACGTTGTGCCTCAGTGCCTCTGATGTATTAACATAACTGGATACAACGTTGGAGGAGGGTTATTTCCTGATTCTCGAGAAAAAAGTACCCTGTGGCATATCTGGTATATCTTATGGTGATGTTCCGCATCCATTAGGCCCAGTAACCATGCCAATCTGGCTTGGTCCAATGGATTCAGATATTTGCACAAATTAATTAAAATTATTATTATCCCCTGTTTTACAGACTTCTCTTTTTTAGAATGTATTTCAAAGGGAACAAGTATTTTGGGCCTAATGGCTTCAAGAGACTGACACAGAATGTAAAGTACCACCTTATCTCAGACTTTGACAGCTATAGGGAAAACATGCAGGTCACCAGCTGAGTCCTGCAGAGAACCACACACAGGCATATGTCTGAAGCAAACAATACGTGTGTTTGCAGTCAGGTGCAGCTAGAGTTTATTCAAGGTCCTCATTTTTATCATTTCTCAAACATGTGTGTCCTATGGTGACATGACATTCAGCTTGTTCCCTGTTTATGTGTCAGGGTATATGCAGGAATCCTGAAGTCAAATGTAAAACCTTTTAAGACCTTTTTTAAGACCCTTTCCATACATTTTAAGACCTCATCGCCACTTCTAACCGGTTACCTTGGCGACACACTTTACCTCACATTGACTATACACAGTATTGATTGTCCTTCCTCCTTATCTTCCAACCATTTGGACGCAGACTTGCATTTCCCCATAACGATGTTGTTTAACAACCGGCGTAAACGGACCTTCGCGCGCTATCAAGCAGTGAGTGTGCGATGTCCTGTTCAGATGACGTCAAACCCAACGGGATGCCATCAATAAATACACAGAATCACACTACACACCTACGCAATGAGTACATTCAGGCACACTGTAGAATACAACCTCTTTGGACAATGTATATACTTATTGAAAACAAGCTACACAATGTAATACCTTGGGAAATGCCCTACTTTTTAATAGCCTTAATTTTCACTAAATTGATTTATCAACTTTTAATACTTGTTAAGACCCCGCGGACACCCTGTGTGTGTATATGCATAAACTGTGGTTGCATTGTTTATTTCTAAATCTGAAACACTGTCCTCACAAACCATATCTGCAAAAATCAACACATTGGGAACCGGTTACAGGTATAAAGATTTATTGCATCCATTATTGCAAGTCCTCCTCAACACACACCTCATTCTACAACATCCACCACCGTTCTCAAAGAAAGACAAACCAATACATGTCCAATTAAACATGGTGACCATAATCAATGACTTGATAAAGTGACCAGTAAATGCAAGTCATTCATGCTTCTGATCAGTGACAGTACAGATTTCTCAATCAATATGATGAGATGAAAATGCTTTAAAGGTACTGTAGGAGTGATTTGATAACTTCATTAAGAAATTAAAATCTTAGCTATGAGAAACTTTCCATATATTTCTAAACCGTTTCTGACACTGAAAACCATAACAAATGTTCTACTAAAGCAACATTTTGGCCATTTCTCAGCGCTGGACTGGCTTTAAACTTTTCACGTGTTGTTTGAACGGGATTTTGGACTGGACTCTCAATCACATCAGAGCCTGTGAGGCCTTGTGTTTATATTACAAGGCTTTCCATGAAGAATACAAAATCATAATTCCTCCAAATGTAAAGAGGCTTGCATAAGATACATATTGTAAAGTGCTTTGTGAACTTTAAGTATATTTACAAAACTTGATTTACAATATATATATATATATATATTGAACTATGGCCACATCACTATACAAAAAAGATGTACCCAGATATTTGGCAAGCCGTCTAATTTGCGTTTGGTACCAAAGACCAGCTGATCTCAATAAGAAGTCTACCCATAATGAACTGATGTGAATCATTTGGATGTTTCTGATTTGTCAGTCATGGTCAGTTTCTAAAGCACACTGACTATAGAAGAAAAATGCCAAAATAATCTGAATTAAACTGATAAAGTAGAGCCGTTTGAATTTGAATATCAAGTACATTGAGAAACAAACCAAAAAACATCTCTAAATAATAGACTTGTACTATATTATGCTAGCTTCCATAGTCTGTCAAACAAGTGAAAACAACATGACCCACAGCTGAAATCAAACCCAGGCTCCACGCAGGGACAGTTAGTAAATCCAAAATAAATCTGTCCGTGGAAAAAACAGAGAGCCATCCGACAGAGGACTGGCCTGGAGTGGATTTTGACTTAAAAAAACATGGTTATTGTAATCCTCATGAGTGGGAAAGCATTGATCCTGATCACAGACATGCTGCATTAAGTCCATGTCTATTAACCTCCTCACAGTAAAACAATGTAGTTAAAAAAGTCCAACAGTCAGGTGAAAGGTTTATTGATACTCTTGGCTGCTACACGCTGCCGTTTCATGGGTAAGGGTCTCAGTGTGACGCAGCAGGTTGAGCATAAACCCACTACCAGTAGACAGAGGTCAGATAAAGAGCTGGAGTAACATGGGATCCCATTGAACTATGCAGTTGTTGTTGATAATTCTGGTCCTCTCTGTCCATTGGAACCAGTCCACATATTTTTTTATTCTGGCATCTTTTTATTTTGCTGGCGTTTCAACTTTGCGTCCCACTCTGAGGAAACACCAATGTCAAACCGCAGCTTTTTTAACTATTGCTAATAGGAATGTCACAGTCATGTGTGATTTTATTTGTCTTGAGTTGAAAGGTTTTCCTTTGGCTCCAGAGATTATTCATGGTGTCTCTATAAAAAGGTATCTATCCTAGGTTGTCAGTTGGCCATCCCCTGGGCAACCTCAGGAATGAGGGAGGAGAAGAACGTTTTAAGGAACACCCAGGCCGTCCACATGACTGACACCCTGTAAGGAGGCACTAACACTGCCGCCATTGGTCCGTGTCCCTCTGACCCGCCCTCTTCAGCGGCAGGCTCCTCCCTCTGTCTGTCAGCAGGCTCCTCCCCCTGTAGAGACAAAGACAAACAAGGCATCACACAAAGGGTTTTCCATCAAAGGTGTATTATTTCAATCAGCAGATCAACCCACAGTGGTCTATCGGGCCTACTTCAGCTAGCAGAGACCTTGAACAACTGAGATATCCAGATGTGTAACAGAGTTCATAACACTTCAGTTGAATGAAGGTAAAGCAGAGTGGAAATGTTCTCTTACTGCGTTAGGGTTTCTGTTCTCGTTCTGTTGGTTGTGCTGGACCTCAGGGGGCTGCAGGGGGTTGGGTCCTTGGACCTGCGCTCGTCTTCTAAAGGGGAACCAACCAACAGTGTGTCTGTTGAGAAAAACAGGAGAGGAAACAAAATAAATTCAAAGTTAAAGAGGATGTCACTACTGTATTTACAAGTTACATTTAAAAACAAGAAAGAGTAAGATGTCATTTCTCTAGAATGTTGGTTTCTTTTGCTTTAGTGGTTTACCCTGAAAGGAAGGATTGTAGAACATTCAGATTTTAATAAAGGGAAAATATGTTTTATATGAAGGCACTTCTTAGTGTTGTGTGAACAGCATAAAGCAGGTTCTGGGGTTGGGGCTAACCATCAGCTATTAACTATCTTTTCAATTAAACACTGGTTTAAAAGAAAAACTTGGACTGTTAAAAGTGAGGCAACGCTTCATTTCCTTAATTGTACTCCACATTATTAGGATCTGGGGAGCACAGTATGTTTTTTTGGCTTGTTATTTTTAAGAATGGCTGAGGAAAATGCTACTTTTTTTAAAATATGTTCAGTCACACACTCCCAGGAACCCGGAAAATGTTACTTAAGGAAGTAAACATCAATCAACGGGACCAGATGGGCCGACCCCTAACATTACATGCCGACTCAATGAGCCAATCTGACAGGACTACCTCTGCTGACTGTCTACATATGTACTCACCTGCCCGCAGAGTGAGAGCATGGTAAAGACAACATCTTTAGATCCTCTTAGTGACAGGATGGGGCCTAGTGTCTTCTGCATGACGTTTATGTCTCCGAGCGTTAACCTTCCAACGGTTGCTGGTGAGTAATAATCAGTCAAACTCATTCTGACTTTTATCTGTTATCCGAGGGCCGGGCTGTGTCCTCAGACACAAACACAGTTTCTCTCTTCAATTCCATCAAAGTTCACTTCTTTTATAATTGAAGTAAACATTGTATTTTTTCACTCATTATTTCTCTTAATGTTTTTCTTTTTAGCAGTTCATACTTCTCTCTTGACATACAAACACATTGAGTATTCCTGCGGGCATGTTTGTGTCAAGGTGAAGGGTTGTGCAACAGCAAACAGAGTGTGAGAGCAGGACATGTGAAGTAAAGGAACAACACACACTCAAACGGCCTTCAAGTGAACATGTCGGGAAATTCAACGATAATTACATTTGGCTAAACAGACCACAAATCACTAATTTACTGTTTTTAAATGAAAATAATCACTTAGTAAATATGATTCAAGTTCAACTTGATATCTTACTGTTTTTATGTGCGTCTTGTGATGATGTGGATATTTCAGATCAAATTGACTAAGGTATCTTACACATGGTATTGTAACGGCCCGTCCACACAGCAGCTTTTGGCGATTTGTCCACCGCTTCCAGCGCGTCTCCGCCCATTGACTTTGAATGGGGATGACGTCACTTTCCCTTGCTTGTCGCCGAACTGCATTGTGGGGGGGCGAGGCGAAGATTGCCAGGATTGCCAGGATGTTCAGGATTCCAAAGTTGAACAATGTTCAACTTTTGAGGCTGAGCTGGAAGCGACAGCCAATCAGATCCGTTTATGCAAATCTGACAGTTCAAGCGCTAGCCAATCAAACCGCGTGCAAGCTGGGAGAACCAGACCCGCAGTTCATTTCTATATTCCACAAAAATGGAGGAGAACTTAGTTATTGCGGTAGCAAATCACCCGGTTCTTTATGACCAGTCCCTATTTACTTACCAGGATACAAACCGGAGGAACCAGGCATGGAGGGAGGTGGCAGAGACAGTGGGCGAAACTGGTAGGTTTTCGCTTGTTTGGGGATTTTATATCCAGTTTACTTCGTTGCTAGTTTACTTCGTTGCTAGCAAGCATAGACAGTATCATTGGCCAGCATGGAATGTAGCATAAAATAGCACCATAGACATTCATCTCATAAATGTTCAAAATGTTAAAAGAAATAGTGGAGAAGAACCAGGGTTTTTTGCTTTGTATGTCGGGGGCGGGAGATTCATGTGATTGGTTGTTGGTCGCGAAATCCCCAAGCTTTCAGACACGCCCAGCTCCAAGATTTTCAAGATTTTTGAAAAGCTGCTGTGTGGACGTACCGTGAGTGTATCGTGTAGTGTTGGATTCACAGTAGTCTCGCCCTGCCTTGGTCTTCTTGGTCTTGACTCGGTCTCGACCTCTTAAAGTTTTGGTCTTGGTACACTCCGGTCTTGGTCTTGACTTGGTCTCGGTTAAGGTGGTCTTGACTACAACACTAAATATAACCTAATTAGTCTTTTCTTTTTAAATGGAATACATACAGGCTTCAGTTGACAACTCAAAGATCCCTACTTCCTATTAGGCCATTGATTAAAATATGAATATGAAGATAGAGTTGATGCTTTTGGAGGAGGCTCTGGAAGCCAACAGCAGCAGATGATAAGAGCTGCTGAGGTTCAGAGCCCCACACTGGAGGGATTTAAAGGACGTTTGTCGACCCACAAGAGTGCAGGGAAAGCATATGAGCCAGAATGGACCTGAAAATGTAAAAGTTGAAGTAGAAAGGGACAGATGGAACTTACAGGTACATGAGGAGCAGGGTGCTCATCACCAGCAGGAAGCGGCTCAGGTTGGAGTTGAAGTACACAATCATGAGCAGAACGCCAAATCTGGCAGCGGAGTACATCCAGTCCAGCCAATCCCGCTCCACGTCGTCCTCGTCCTCCATCACCGGCCCCCCCTGCGCGTTCATCCTCATGTTCTGGTTGGCCTCTCCAGGGTTGATGAAAGCACCGTCCTGCACTGGGTTCTGATTGGCGGGCAGGTTTTCGATGGGGTTCTGATTGGCTAATGGGGCTGGGACAGGTACCTGGTGGGCGGGAACAGGAGGGTACTGGCCAATGGTTGTAGCTGGTGCTGATGGTAGAGTGCCTGCTGCGGCCAGCGCTGCATGGCTGTCAGTGTGAGGTAAACATAAGGAGGGTTAGAAACTGGAAGGGGGAAGAGTAGAATATTATATTCATAATCAGCTGAGAACAATGAACAACAGCTACAAAACATTTAGAAAGAACAGATGAATTAAAAGAACCTGGTGTAGGAGATGCAGAAGAACAATGTTTAGATCTTGCATTAAAAAAAAATATATATATTTAATTCTGAATGAATGAATTAAATTCATATATTATAGAAGGGATACACTTTAGAAGGTTTACACCAGCTCCCTAGATAATGCTTTAAATGTGTCTCTCAGAGAGACTCTTTCAATATACTGAGAAAATAAGACACCCAACTAGAGAGTAGATCCCTTTCTGGTCATTAGTTTTTAAGAAGTTGATTTGGTAAAATTGTAAAAAAGGAAGGACCTCCACTTCAAAATATAACATGCTAATCAAATATGACCCCAACGTTAATATAACAATGTCAGGAGACAGTTACATGAGAAACCATTCATCATGATATGGTACTACGGAGCACAATTTATGAAGCTCTGTAGCTCTGGAGATTTGAAGGGTGTTTTTTTGCAAATGATGCACAAAGAAAAGTAAACCTAGCAGGACAAAGGCATGCACAATGAGACTGAGGCTAAAGAAGAACTCACACCAATGGTAAAGTGGTAGAAATAAAAACGTACTATTGCATGTAATACTGTCTAGCGTAAACATGCTGGAGCCACATGAGCTGCTGGGGGCTGTACAGAGAGTAGGTGGGGAAGGCTGGCTGGCGCATCTGTGGAGGCCTGAAGGAGAAATACACTGTTCACATCCGCTCACACAGCAGTCAAAGAACCAGAACAACAATATGGTTTTCAAATACAAGGAGTTTGATTTGGAGTATAACGTTTCCTACATAAACACAGTAAGATATATGAAGATATGAGCAAAGATAAAAAGGTCATAAAAACTATTAAAGGTGGGTCAGGTAAGTTTGAGAAACCGGCTCGAGATACACTTTTTGTTATATTCCATGGAATGCTCTTAACATCCCGATAGCAATGAATATCTGAAGTGCTTTGACAACAAATCCATTAAAAAATATCATCAGTGGAAGCTGTAGCGCTGTAAAAAGCACGACCAATCATCTGAGCCGGCTAAAGTAACTGGATAGCCTACCTTCCTGTCAGCCTTCCATCTGTGCACAAACTTATCTCGTACCCTCATTGGTCATGTGCGCGTTTGCGTGTGTGTTGGAGGAGGGGCTCTGTGAGGAAGTGGCAGATTTGTTCCGGCTGTGTATTTTCAAATTCTAGCGATCTCCAGCCGGTTTCTCCAAAATTACCTACCCTACCTTTAAAATGTCACAACAATTGTACAAGTTATATAAAAGTAGATGGGCCTTGTTGTTGAAGCAACTAACTGTCTGGAAGAAGAGAACAAATATTAAAGGAAGAGATAGTGTGGGAATTGTTGTTACGAAAGAACTTTCCTGAACATATCCGGTATACTCTTAACTGTTGATGTCCAGCCATGCCAATGCAATCTAATACAGTTGAGAAGATGCAACATTTCTTCTTGTATGACTTACACTGGAGCAGCAGGCCATGCTGGTGGAGACAGGGGGGCTGGTGTGTGAGCTGCAGCAGCTGAAGGTGAAGAGGTGTGCCTCCTCTGCCTCAGTGAGGGTGAGCTGGGGGGCTGGACTGAGGATGAGGGGCCAGAAGGACTCGGAGGACCAGAGCCTGCCTGAGGACGGGGGGGACCGGGCTGCTCTGTCTCTTTGGTCTGCAGAGGCAACAACAGTTTGAACTTTTTTCAAATGTAAGCAATATATTGGATGTCCCTCAGCACTACAGAAAATATACTTTCATACGTCTGTAGATATAAGCTTTAGGGTCCAGTGTGTAAAAGCACTTGGAGGTCGTGTAGCCTTGGTTTAGCAGAGCAGGGTTGTGAAACTAAGGCCAGGTATCATAAGCTTTACTTTGTATCTCTAAAGAGTAGCTGGGTTCTGAAAGATGAGCCCGGAAGTGAAACAGTTGCACTCAGTAGTGGGAGTTCTCTAATGCAAGACGAGATATAGAATGAGACAATAACATTTAAAAGGCTGTATATAAGTAAAGAAACACATTGAGTTCTAATGCCACTTTTTGGTATGCAATGATTTACTCATATGCCACAACAATATTATGTTCCTGTGTTAAAATATCATAATTTGAGGGCTTTTTTAAAGCTCATATTGATAGATGTGAATGTTGGCAATTAAATGAGCATGTATATATTTCTACTACCCCTTAAAGTCTTCATGCCAACCCAATAATTGTTCTAGATCCGCCACTGACCTCTTACCTGTGTTATTTAGGTGACAACTGTACTTGCATTACATGGATGTGTGGCCCGCAGATGAACAAAAACACAAGGAGGGAATCGGTCATGTTGACAGTGACTAACAACACACACCCGTGTGATTCCTGCTGAAATGTCCTTGGGCACGCATGACACCTATTGTGTGCTGGGAAGAAACACCTGCTGTCACGAAAAGACACGTCGCTTCCCATTTGAAAAATAACTGGGAAGATTCTGTTGAGCTTGTGAGAATAGTTCAGTGTGACTACTCTTACCTTAGGTCTAGCTCCCAGGGGGCCTTGGGCCGGAGTCCTAGTAGCACACACCAGGTGCAGTGTGGGAAACGAGTCAGTCTGAGAAACGGACATAAATGTCTGATTAGAAAAGCTACATGGTAAAACACAATGCTATATTCAAGCCTTTACGTTGGACATCATTTTGCCAAATCAAGATGAAATGTTGTTCTGACAATCAATTAACTTTGAAAAACAGTGTTGTGTTCTTCATACACCCGTACTTAATTTAAAAAGACAATATTTTGACTAGGAATGCTAAGTGGAGTAAGTTTTGGTTATATAGTCCAATATAAAACATATGCCACAATATCTGAAGCAACCACTTTTCATTAGGCCCATTAAGTGAACAACTCTCCCAAAGAACACATGCCAAAGTACAGTAAACAGAGCCAGCTGTCACATACCTGTCTGAAGAGGTCTTTAATGGGCAGATGATCTGGCAGCAGTTTACCACCATAGATCAGTCTCTGGTCACTTGTAGCCTACAGAGAAACACGTTTAGTCAGTTACACAAACAGAGCGGAGTGACTACAAGGGTGACATATTTACATACACACAAATGTACATAGTAGTGTAAACGGGAAAAATCCAGTGCATAGACCTGCATAGATTTGTAACACATAATTAAGTGGTATAACATACAAGTGTAATTTATTATCTATAAACGTTGGCCTTGTTTTACTGTTTTGAAACAGGAGTTCCAAATAATAAATAAAATAATGAAATATGGTAAGGTACACAAGGGTTTGAAATCAAATATATATATATATATATATTGTAACCATTATATAAATGACATACACTGTGATATGAGATGTTGCACATATCACCCACCACTAATGCTATACAAGTATATTTGTATCATAACTTTTCTAAATGATGTATTAGGTAATACATGTTTCTCCCAGCCCTGATGCAGCCGGTTCAGCCCATAGACTGTATTGGTTCAGCCACATGAACCGGTTCAGCCCATAGACTGTATTGGTTCAGCCACATGAACCGGTTCAGCCCATAGACTGTATTGGTTCAGCCACATGAACCGGTTCAGCCCATAGACTGTATTGGTTCAGCCACATGAACCGGTTCAGCCCATAGACTGTATTGGTTCAGCCACATTAACCTGTTCAGCCCATAGACTGTATTGGTTCAGCCCACATTAAACCGGTTCAGCCCATAGACGTATTGGTTCAGCTCACATGAACCGGTTCAGCCCATAGACTGTATGGTTCAGCCACATGAAACCGGTTCAGCCCATAGACTGTATGGTTCAGCCACACTAACCTGTCAGTGCCCAATAGACTGTATGGGTTCAGCCACAGTAACCTGCTCAGCCCATAGGACTGTATTGGTTCAGCCCACCATTAACCTGCTCAGCACATAGACTGTATTGGTTCAGCCACATGACCGGTCAGCCCATAGACTGTATTGGTTCAGCCACATGAACCGGTTCAGCCATAGACTGTAGTGGTTCACGCCACATGAACCGGTTTCAGCCCATAGACTGTATTGGTTCAGCCACATTAACCTTGTTCAGCCCATAGACTGTATTGGTTCAGCCACATTAACCGGTTCAGCCCATAGACTGTATTGGTTCAGCCACATGAACCGGTTCAGCCCATAGACTGTATTGGTTCAGCCACATGAACCGGTTCAGCCCATAGACTGTATTGGTTCAGCCACATTAACCTGTTCAGCCCATAGACTGTATTGGTTCAGCCACATTAACCTGCTCAGCCCATAGACTGTATTGGTTCAGCCACATTAACCTGCTCAGCCCATAGACTGTATTGGTTCAGCCACATGAACCGGTTCAGCCCATAGACTGTATTGGTTCAGCCACATGAACCGGTTCAGCCCATAGACTGTATTGGTTCAGCCACATTAACCTGTTCAGCCCATAGACTGTATTGGTTCAGCCACATTAACCTGTTCAGCCCATAGACTGTATTGGTTCAGCCACATGAACCTGTTCAGCCCATAGACTGTATTGGTTCAGCCACATTAACCTGTTCAGCCCATAGACTGTATTGGTTCAGCCACATTAACCTGTTCAGCCCATAGACTGTATTGGTTCAGCCACATGAACCTGTTCAGCCTGTCACTCAGAGTCAAGACATTCCACAGCACAGCCTGTCAGCAGCTCACCTCGCTAACATTAGCAAGCTAACTTATCCGCTTCATAATAACTCACCGGTTTAGTTGTGTAAACGATCGACAAATGCCTTTTTAGATCTTTCACAGTCCAGTTCGGACAGACGCCTTCCACGGCTTGGTCCTCCTGAGCTTGGTTGGGCGTTTTTATCAGAAGAGTTATCGTCTTTTGTTCAGTGTCCTCCACATCCATGTTTACTATCGTTCAGTTTGTAGTCTACGGGTGATACTGTCGACTCACGACAACTGTAGTTGTCAAAAAAGAAAGAGCCCTGCTGATACAGTCTGCACATAGAAGAAACGACGAAAATGATTTTGCCTAAACAGAAACTTGTGCTAAAAGTCTTCCTGCTGCCTGGTATCAGCAACTTCAGCGAGGGGGCGGGCTGTCGGTTGTCTCAAAACACTCTGTGGCCGCTGCTGATTGGTTACACTGCGCTCCGGCTCAGACGTGGAAGCTGCTCAATAAACCTTTGTCCTGTGGGCATGGGCATGCGCAATAATTCATTATGAAGATCCGAAGATCGTTTATTTAATAACTAATGGAGTAATGAGTTTGCTTAATCTGATGTAATTTTACCAACTGAAAAGTAGGTAGGTGTAAGAGTAACTAAGTAAATTTCCCCGATTTGAAAAAAATGATTTCAGCTGTTTATGTATTCTATAGCCTATCAGTGGCGGCGGCGCCAGATATTTTCTTTTGGGGGTGCTGTGGGGTAGCTTCACGTTTAGGGTGTTCACACATTTACGGTTTCCCATTAATGTCCCGCGCTACTACAGACAGTTGAATGTTCTACTGCAACACTCCCCACACGCACATACACAGTTAACCCGCGACTAGGGCTGCAACAAACGACTAATTTGATAATCAATTAATCTATCGATTAATGAATCGACTATTCGGACTATTACTGTATGCCTTGCACAATTTCTCAAACGTTCTTATTCATCATTTTTTAGATTTAGCTTGAGGTTGTTTTAGGCATGTGGAAACTAACAATGAAGACAATAAAGATGAATACTTGATTCAAAAATACATAGGCCTATATTATTAAATTAACTAACACATTTTGAACAAAACTAACATTGCTTTTTATTTAAATAAAATAAATAATATTTCACATCAAAAGAAACAACAGTGTTTTAACAAATCGTAATAAAATAATGTGATGACAGAATTGTAAACAGAATAGCTGAAACTTTAACAAAATAAATAACTCAGTTACCTCTAATCATTAACCCATGTGATGTTTGTAGAATTTAGTTAACTAATCTATGCATCCCATATGAAGCAGAACTGTAAACCGATTTTCTATTTCTTTATGGATATTTTACAAATCACACCTTTTAAACTGTATTCTTGTTTTACTGTCATAGTATTTCATACCTGTTTTTCATTTATGCTCTTACTTTCTTATACCTATAATGATCATATACACGTGTGCCTCAGAAATACTTATTTACATTAATAGTGACTATACCGTTTTGAGACCCACTGAGATAACTTAGACTAAAGTTAACTATCTAAACACTGAGAGTAGGGATGGGTATCGAGAACCGGTACTAAGTCAGTAGGCTACCGGTACCTGATTGGACGGTATTGGTATACCGTTAAGCCGCTGGCAAACGGTGCTGCCAGGGGCCAGAGCCCTAGAGAGATAAGAGTTACGACACTCCCATAGACCTCCGTTGTAAAAAATGGCGGCGCCTACTTCCGGGGTATGGACATCGAAATAGTTCAAAATATTGTCATTTGGGCGTAGAACCTCATTCACTTACATTACGGCGCGTCGATTAGTTCCAGAGGTAAGTTGCTGAAATATCGAACTCTTTTGAATTGTCAACTGTCTATATTGTATCAGAGGCCCTTTATGATGCTTATACTGGTCTTCATTTGTATATGCACAGCGTAATTATCTATATTTTATCTTGGTTGTTACAACCAATTTAGCTAGCATTGCCTGCTAGTTAGCTAGCGCGACTTCGTCAGCTTTGAAGGTAAGATTTCAGTAATGAATCGCTAGCAGCTTATATATCAATGATGCTGGGTAACTAACAAGCAGGATTTAGATTGATTATGTGTTTTTATTGTTATTTTGGTTTTTATCCGCTGAACCTGACCGTGTCAGCCATCCTTAGTCGGCTTTTTCTGTATGATATGACTTAACTGCTAGCACTAGTAGAAATGAGGTGACGTTTGTGATAAATATTTCATTTAATATTTCATTGAATTTTGGGATATACTAACATTTCATTATGTGACATGTTGACTGTACTTTGTTTTTTTTGGTACTGTTCCGTGTTAACTCATCTGTACTGTACAACTAGCCTAGCGCTACTCATGCTTGATGGCATGCTAGGATAGATTCCTTTGTATTGTAATATACACTAGTTTAATGATTGTTCTTCAAAGGTATTATTCAGTCTTAAACAAATAATAGCCTACTGAATAGGCTACTCTACAGCAGTGAATGAAGGATGAGCCTTTTAGGCTCATCCTTCCTTCATCCTTCATTCCTTCATGCATCCAAAATGTTTATTTTTAACAAAATAAACACTTAAAACAAATAATTAGCACTTTTTTTTTTCACCCACAGTGACAGCGTGCAGAGCATATTGGAACTCTCCAGGTGTTGGGACAGAGTTCCTCAGACGAATGGACGAAAATGTGTTTTCCAGGCAGTCTTGAGTGAAGCGGCTTGTGAGAACAAATTTGTGCCCTTGTCTCAACAGGTCATGCTGAACCTCCAGGATTGTTGTTGTGGCCATCACCAGTCCTGTCTGGACTGGTTTCCAGCTGCCCTTGGGACCGATCTTCAGGCCCCGAAACAGATGGATGGAGTCCCGGAGGAAGCTGATGGCCTTATCATACTCCTCCATCTTGAAATGACTTAGGGCAGTAACAGTGTTGCGTGACGACATGAGGTCAAACTTTTTGGTGTCCAATGTTCAGTCACTGTATTGGTAAGCAACAATTTGTTTTGGTCAAAATGTGTTATTCACACTCCTGACTCCAGTTTGATGTGCTGCATTCTCCTCTGAGTGGTCCTGATTTCAGGCAGAGGTCATGGCTTGGAAGGTTTTATATTCTGTAGTGTCTCAACAGAACCTAATATGAATTGCTTTATTGTCTCGTCGCTGGATCACCTCCCCCTGGCAAAGTAGCCTCGTTATTGTTGACAAACCTGTTTTTGTTGCTGGTTCAACAGGAGCTTCTGTAAATAGTTTTGTAAATAGTTTGAATATTTATCATAGTAATCATTTTTAGTCTCCCATTCTCTCAATTTAATTTATCGTTTCTTTGCCCCACCAGATGTTTTGTTGTCCAAGGGCACTAATTTGGTCTGTGTTGAAGATTGTTTTACACTTTAGATTAATCAAAATTGTGTTTTTTGGCTGAATTAATCGTTTTCTGTTGAACCCTAACCCTCTTTGTTCTCCTTCTCATTCATTTGACTTTGTTTTGTTCTAACACACATCACATCACTTTTTCCATACACTGTTCTTAATACTTGTTCACACATGTGTTCGTCCCTTTTACTTTGTTCTTCCTGTTGTTCTTGTTCAAACACATATATCAATTGTTCATCCACTGTTGTGGTAAAATGATATTCATAGTCTTAACATGATCATGCTACCCATGCTAACATGAACACAAGCGTTTCCCTCCAAAAATGTAAAACGTATCTAAGTAATAGGCTACCAAGCTTTCCGTTGTCACCCTGCCTCTCCAAATGCAAAACTGTCAATAAAAAGTATGCAATAATGCAATTACAGCTGAAAAAGTACTTGGGTGTGTGTGTTTTTTTTATATATATATTTACCATTCAATAACGCAATCGCTGCTGTCTGTCTGTCCCATAGAAGAACATGACAGCGCAGCACAGCGCAACTATACTATGGACGTGACTGCCCTGGCAGTGACAGCAACATAGCCTGCTTGTGCTACCACACTTTCCCCTCAAAATATCGTTAAATAACGAAACTTATAAATAGTGCCAATCCATACAAAGTGTAACCACATCATGTAAATATGAAAGCAATCTTTAAAAAATAACAGCGTTGGTTTAATCTATGACTATTTTGACCATGTTTGTGCTGTTTTTGCCATAGAGAAGCATTGCAACGGAAGTGCGTTTTGAACTATCCCGGCATACATAAACCACGTGACCGGCTGGCGGCGACATCAAAGAGTGTCGTAACTCTTATCTCTCTAGGGCTCTGCCAGGGGCGCCGTAAGGGGGTGAAAAGTTAGGACGATTCTAAGGGCCCGTGACTGACAGGGGCCCCAAAATGTTCAGAACATTAAGGAAAAAAAAGCAAGTAACCTTTCATCAATCCTCAATAATTAACATTAATAGAACGTTATATTGATAAATTACTCACTAAACTTACGATTCATTTAACTTATTTTCTTCCAAAAGTTAATTACCCAAAGCCTCTGTACACCCCCTTCTATGTAGGCCTACATGTAATGGTTTGGTCCTGCCTCCAAACGCGGTGTAGCACCTGCACTTGCAGAGAGTGAAAGCATGTGAGGAGAGATGCTAGTACTTAGTCTACATACGTGTGTTGTACCATGTTTCAACGACCAACAAAGTCAGGCTCTAAGAAAATAAGAGAAAGGAGAGAAAGACAAGAGAGAGGGACTAAAGGGCAACAGTATGTCACCCAGTTTTTCGCAAGAAAAGGTGGGTGTGGTCCATGAGTGTTGGAAATTAGTCTGTTAGCTAATGTTTTTTTGTTTACTAAGCTGACATTAAAGACCCCGTGAAGTGTGCGCCTGTGCATGATCTGTTATGCTAATACGTATAGTAATGACCAAAATTGTCCATTGGAACCATATCAAAAGATGTTGGAATAGCAACGAATTTGACGAGTTTTGAATTTGCCGCAGGGAAATCCGCAGTTGACCTCCGCCTTCGTGGGCGTGGCTTGCGATCTACTGCGTGACGTCACGAGATGGTCGCCGCCGAAGTGTTTACATTCATCACAGTTTATTGTTTCTCTGTTTCAAAAGTCGATTTATCAAAGTTTTTGAGCGAGTATTTTACTGGAAAGTGTGTCGGAGTCGACTAGAAGTGATTGCCAATCGAGAAAACCTGACAATGGAGGCGACAGTGAAGAAAAAGGGAGGAAAAACACACGGGAAGCGATGCATTGCCGCTGGCCGTATTAATGTCAAGTCTGCCGAAGTGGCGATGTTTCTGTTCCCAAAAGATGAAGGTGAGCCTGGCTGGTGTCATTGTTTCGTAGATTCGTTGATTGTTCATGACAAATAAAGGCCACTGGTCGATTCGAGAGAGAGAGAGAGACTGAGAGAGTTACAGGGTTGTTGTTAGCATCTGGTGCTAGCTCGGAGCTAACGGAGATTGGCTGTTTCAACAATAAGGAGAGGGAGAGTCCTCTCCTGTGGG